TGGAAAAGCTTGAAAAGGGACGTTGAAAGTGCTGAACGTGCTTGACTTTGATACTGAAAAAGGCATATGAACCCTGACAGTCTGATGCATAATGACATCAGCTGTCCTCTCTTTAACCAAAAGCGAGCCGGCTGGTGAAAAAATACAAAAGCAAATGGCAAAGGCGCACAAAGCTGAAAACTAAACTATTACCTATACTGGGTGAACTAGGACTAGACTTGAGAAACATGAACATGATGAGACTTGAGAATTCCAGTGACATGACACAAATAAAAACAGATAAACAAAGGGAGACAGAAGATTGAAATACACAGAGGGATAATGGGGGAAGTGGAAACCAAATACAAATAAACATGATGACACAAGGGAAGCAAAATGAAACATACTGGACATGGAACACAAGAATGTCAAAATAAAAGAGAGGCATAGACTGGGAAACGTGAGCTTGACACAAGTGTTGAGTGCAGAGTGCAGAAAAAAACTCCAACAAAAAAGAAAAAAACTCAAATGAAGCTGCAGCATGTGTAGGTTTTGATTTTCAGTTTTACAGAACAGAATCGGCTGACATGTGAAACCAGTTCCTTATTGAAGTGCTGAAACTTCTGCTTATTCAGATTTTTCATGAACACAAGAAAATGAAAACAGAACATGAAAAGTTGCAGGGTGTTGTTTCTTTGTCCTCACTGAACTGTGAAAATGACCCACAGAAAGGCTCCATGTGTGTATGTCGACACTGAAGTAATGTCATTTTACAACATTTTAAATTTTCTTCACCTCACTGTAGACTTCCTCCTGGACATGAGGACTCTGTGTTAAGTTGTTTTCTGGCTTGCTGATTTGCACCTGTGCGTACTCTGTATCCTGCTCCTGTCTTCTGTCCTGCACTGAGTGAGAGGATGCTTGATGCTTGGAAATGTTAATCTCACTATAATGGATGTTTTCTTCAACTTCCTCTCTTTTACTTCCTGGTTCTTCAACAACCTGCTTTTCATTTATTTGAATCTATGGAATTAAAATAATAGAATACTCCTTAAGCTGACTCTGTTATTTTTTTTGTTACATTGTTACATTACAGACTGCTCTGACAAAGATGCTACTGTAAATAATCACTAGAACAGTCAGTTATCCTGCAGATAGATTTTTGTTTTGTTTTGTTTTAATTCGCTTACCTGAGTCTGTTGTTGTCTTTGATGCTTTGATTTTAACCAGCTGGAAGACACAAGAGGCTGTTAAATTAACTCTACTAAATATAATTGTGAATAAAGTTAATCTATTGGAAAACAGATATTTTAATTTGCAGCTAAAATATCTTTGACACTAACAGTATGTGTTTTCTACTTTCATGTGTGATACTTACCAAACAAAGATTATCAAGCAGAGTAAGATTAAGAGTAAAATGATCCCAATAATTACGCCAATATGTTGCCACAGTTTGTCTGTTGAAGCACACTCTACAAAAATCATGAAGTAACAAAAAAAAGGATTTTATGTTGACATATTGATTCAGGCTGTGCTTCGTTACTACTTGAAGTAGTTTTTTTTAAATGAAAGATATAATAGATACAAAAAAGTTTTTAAAAAATGATGGGAGCACATACTTTCCTCTTTAGGCAATGGGCCTTTAACAGTCATGTTAATCTCTGCTGATGTCTGATTACCCAGATCATTAGTGGCCACACAGTAATAAACTCCTCCATCTGTTACATTGAAGCTGTAAATCTCTCCTTCAGATACTTTCACAGCTCCATCTCTGCTCTTCTTGAACCAGGTGAAGCTGCTGACTGGAGGTTTGGCTCTGCTGGAGCAGGTCAGGTTCACCCAGCTGCCTGCTGACACCAAACCTGATGGACTGATGGATGCTGAGGTGTTTTTAGGAGCATCTGGAGAAATAAAAGAGAGAAAGTGATATCCCATATAC